CAGACAGAGAAGAGGCCTGTTTAGCACTTGTTCGGCCACCTCGAGTGAACCGACGGGACGACCTGAAACAACTGTTTGTGTGGTGACCAGAATATGTAGGAGCTTCACGCCGAGCAGCTGCCGTGTTACAGCACAAAAGGCCCAGAGGCTGTTTACAGGAGGGACGCGGTGCTGCTGCCGTGTTAGGGGAGACGTGCTGATCCCTGAACGAGCAGGTCAGGATGCTTCTTACACAACTAACCGAAGACTTCCTGCAGGTCTTGTTTGTTCATTCATCGTCTTGTTGTATTGCATTGCAGCAGAGCGTGGGCGGCGACGTCATAGGGCTGCACGTTCGGCCAAGTTACGCACATACATGCTTTGTTGATGGGCGTGTGCGTGGAGCAAAGTGACTCGGGACGTTTTGAAACGCCTCGTGAGGCAAGGAGGAAGGGGGCCTACTTTGTCTTTCGTTATCTCGTCCTTTTAGTGAGAACAGGATATTATTTTACCGTCTGTGTTTTTTTTTTTTTGTTCCTTTTTGCGGCCGAGATACGAGCTGGTGAGTCAGAGCTTCGTCTTTTCTCTGTCAGGAGGAAGTAAATGGGCCGAGGAGGTAGCGTTAGTCGTCCTGAAGAGTCATTTCTTTTAGTCATATGATAATCATGACACACAATAGTGGTGCGCTAGTTGCCTCGGGGCACCGTTTGTCAAGTGTTTTCTCTCTGAAGCTGATGTGAAAATGAGATCGTGGGTCAAATGTTCTGGAGAACGAAACCAACTGTTCCTCAGAAGCTGTGAAAAGAGGGGGTTTGTGAGGGGGGGGAGATAGAGGGAGGAAAAGGGGGATAACAACAGTGAATAAAGCTGTGGGGACAGAACAGAGTCCAGCTTCTGCCAAGGTGCTGAACAGAACAGTGAGTTGTTGTTTGTTCTCCGGACTTCCTGTGGAGAAACGGTCATTACTGTATTCAGGCTAAAGGTCGAGTCTGAACAGACGGGGCATGTTATTCTCAAAACATTTTCATAATATCGCTCCTGTTATCTGTCCGCCCCGATCACTTCATGTGGACAGCGGCGTCTTTTTTTACAGGGAAATGTGTCCTCCGGTGGGAAAACACTGCTGTATTTCACACTAACTGGTGTCTTTCTCTTCCTCTGGTGCTGTCTAATAACCAAACCTCTCTCTCTCTCTCTCTCTCGTTCTGTTAGCAATGGCCCAAGAGACGAACCAGAGCCCGGTGCCCATGCTTTGTGCCACCGGCTGCGGCTTCTACGGCAACCCGAGAACCAACGGTATGTGCTCCGTATGCTACAAGGAACACCTGACACGGCAGCAGAGCAGCGACCGCATGAGCCCCCACAGCCCTATGGGTAAGTCGGTTCTCACACACACACACACAAAAAGACTTTAACAACAGATTCTGTCTTTTCAGAAAGAGTGGAACCAACACTGCAGTCCACATTGATTTCAGACGTTCATAATGTAAACATATGGACGTACCTCACCCTATACATTTACAGCTAGAGATAAGGAGGGGCTACAGGAAGTTTAGACACCAGTTGTAGGCCAGGTGTGTTTTCCCAGCTCTCTTTCTTTCCCTCCCTGCCCCCCCCTCGTCTCTGTTTTTCCACTCTGTAATGAAAGGCAGCTGTTTTCTTCATTATAGTGTTCAAGGTTATGTGGGTGTTTTTACTCCTTCAGACATTTCTAAGGTCAAACACTGAAGTTTCTCCCACAATGTGACACCGGTGGCCTTTTTTTTTTTTTTTTTGAAGCTGTTTCAAACAAGACCAAACACATTAGAAAAAAGCAAAGAAAGATAAATACAGCTTTGTGAAGGAAACCTGGCCTCATAACTTCTATCAAGTCTGAAGAGCTTTTAAATGAATAATTAGTTGGTAATGCACAAGAGTGTTTTTCACTGAATTCACCTATGATTGTTTTTGTTTCTGTTTGAGTTTTGTCTAATTAAATTCACTCTGTTCTCATCCAGGCTCAGCTGCTAGTCCTACCTCAGAGGCCTCGGCCATCCAGAGACTAGAAGCAAGTCTAGCTAAGGTTGATGCCTCCCCTGCCTCCTCGCCAGACATGTCTAGGTCAGTATTGGTCGTGTTTGACAGTTGACGAGATAGTTGGTGGGCTTTCTTTTTAAAATTGGAGAATGTGTGAACTTGCTGGCTGACTGCTCCCTTTTTTTATTTTTATTTAACCTTCAGAAATATTCAAGGATCTCTTCCTGTGACTCAGCAAATGACAGAGATGAGCATCTCGAGAGAGGACAAACCAGAACCCCTAGAGCCTGGTAAAAAACCCACAGACGCCACATAAACACACGTGTAGTAACAGACGTAAGCACGAGCATTTGGGACATGCAGGTGACCGCGCACATACACTTTCTTTTAAGGCAAACATCGCCTTGTAGGACCCACCGTAGCCACAGTTTATTTTTGATGCTTCGCGGCGTACCCTAAACCCAACTGTTGGTTTTACTTACAGCCTCCAAGAAAAAGAGAGAGAGAGAGAGAGAGAGAGAGAGAGGAGGTCTAAAAATAAACCTGTTTAAAAATACCTCTACACCGGAGGGCATTCTCAGATTCGGTGCTGCCTGCCAGAGGCTTTCTCAGAGTAGAGCGCTATTTTCTGCCAAAAACAACAGGAGCAATTTAGAGATAAGGAACATACTAATTACTATTATTTGGGACAAAAGTACACAATTTCAGTTGCAAGAGTTGTTTGCGTGTCTTCTAGAACTATGAACCGAACTCATTAATCCAAATGATCTTGTAAATCAGATAATGGCTAATTAAACCTAGCATGACTAATGTGTTTCTGTTTTCTTTCCAGTTGTAAACCAGCCTGCTGCTTCTAGCCCTACTCCTGTAGCTTCTTCCAGCAGTGAAGATAGCAAGGGTGACACCCCCAAACCCAAGAAGAATAGGTGCTTCATGTGCCGCAAAAGGGTGGGCCTTACAGGTGAGCAGGGCGGGGTACACGAAGGGGCATCTGAAGCAAATTATTCCTGTCAGTGATTCAGGTTGTGACCCTTCCTAAGTCCCGCCCCCTTTTTGCTCTGTGCTCCAATAACAGTTGTCGCTTTTATCTTTTTAACCATCTTCAGAATTTGGTTGTCTTTTCAACATGGCACATATCTGAGAACAGTTGACCGAGGTTTGCTCAACAGTTATTGGAGCACAGAGCACAAAGGGGGCGACACAAGTTGTTTTACTGGTCCTCTGTGGAAAGACAAAGGGTTCTTTCTTTCCCCCTCTCGTGTTCTAGCTCTGACCTCTGACCCTTTTATGCTTTCAGGGTTTGACTGTCGCTGTGGCAACCTGTTCTGTGGCATCCACCGATATTCCGACAAGCACAACTGTCCCTATGATTACAAAGCCGAGGCTGCCGCCAAGATCCGTAAGGAGAACCCCGTGGTGGTGGCCGACAAGATCCAGAGAATATAGATGTGACAAAATAACAACAACAACAACAACAACAATAGCAGCGGCGGCGGCGGCGGCAACGATGACAACAACTTTGACAAAGACTGGAGTATGAGTGTGAACCTTTTGAAATGAGCACTGGCATGAGTGGCTAAGTGAGGATTAAAAGGACTTGATTTACAAAATAACAACCTCAAGAAAAATGATGGAGGGAAAAAAAAGAAGATAAAAAAAGATCCTGTCTGAGGGAGATGCATGAATGATCACTTTTCTCCTTTTTTTTGATTAATTCATTAGTTTGTTTTATCCTATTTTCTGTGGTGTGACTTTGCCGCTGTTCAGTCCTTCTTTTTTTTTTTTCTAAGAATATGTATTGTCTTATTAAAAGCAGCCCAGGCTAACTGTCCAGGATACGCTGTGCTCCTCTCACCCCCAAAACCAGGCGCCATTTTGTGCCAAACCGTAGACAACCATTTTACTCAGGCCCTGTCCAGTGTCAGACACTGGCGGGTCTTTTAAAACATTCAGACTACACAGTGTAACAGAGTTGTGTCCCTTAACCTTTTTGAACTTCTTGTTCTGTGCTCCATTGGTACTGGAGTCAGTCAGCGTTTGGAGAACCGTACAACTGTCCCCCACCATGCACAAGGGGCTTTGTTACCTTGTCTCTGTCTTTCCTAGCTTTACCTACCTCACAGCTGCTGTGTTAAGCTTTGTTGTCTTCCCTTTTACTTTTTTGTTTTCATCAGCTTTGACCCCAGCAGAACAATGGATCATCTTGATAGTCAGCCTCAGTGACCCTCTGATCAGCATGTCTGTGTTGACTTTGATCGGTTTGATTGTGATAAGGCTGTTCCATTATGGCTGGAGGTATCACGCTAGACAGGGACAAACGAATAACTCCACGTTTCACTGAATCTAAACATTTTCAATGGACATAATGGGTAAAGGATCCCCCCCACCCCACCCCACCCCAC